TAACACATATAATTCACAAATAGATAGTACTCTTTAAAATTTTGATATTTCTTATAAAAGAATGATATAACTGTTTACGTACAAAAATATTTCAGATCTTACTTTTTAATTTCAATGTAATTCTTGTTTTTATTGTTCTTTCAATACAATTGAACTAAATTGAAACCTTTTATCTTTTTCACTTTTAGTTTTTCTTTATGATTAATGCTAAATTGTCAAACATTTTAAAATAAATATTATTAAATTTTTCACTTATTATTTGTTTTATATATTGAATTATTATTTGAAAATTTCAATATGAAAAAATAAAAAAATATAAATAATTATTTAAAAAAGATTTTTTTAATATTTTTTAAATAGTTTAAGTAATTTTCACTTAATTTTTATAATTAAAAAAATAAAATAATAGATTTGTGCAAAAATAAAGATTATTTCTTCCCTGCTTTTCATAAAATAAATTTAAAAATAAAATTAAATATTTTTTAATTTAATCAGTTTTATAAATACTTTAATATTTTTTAGCCAGCATCAATATTATATGATGCACTAATTTATTTCTTTCTAATGGAATTTTAATTATTTTTTTTATTTATTATTGTTTAAAAATACTATGTAAATATATTTTAAACTTGGTCTAATTATAAAAAGAAAATTTTGTATACTTCTAATGATTTCATTTCATAATAATAAAAATTCATTTTAATAATAAAACTTTTTTTTCGATTTTTTTATTAATATATTATACTTTATAAAAATTTTTTTACAAAAACGGACTAATTTGTACTATCTTTTTGTAACAGAATATGCATATTAAAAAGAAGTAAAGAAGACATAATATTTATTAGAAATGAATTAGTTTTAATTGAAAACTAAATTGTAAAAGATTTTGTGTAAGAAGAAAAATAAAAAAAAAATAAAAAATAAAAAAAAAAATACAAAGAAAAATAAGAAAAAATTACCCTATTTCCATGTCTTTAGCGATAACATATTCCCATAGAGATCCCATAATAGGAGCATCAGCCCTAATAAGCATATTGTGACCAAAATTAGTAGAATCATTATGCATAAAATATGTATTATAATTTTACAATTAATAATATAATACAATATATTAGTATATTATTCTACCAATTACTACCAATTATCAAAATAATATATACAAATATAAATATATGAAATAAAAGAAGTTATTTTTCTGTAAAAATAAATTAGAAAAAATATTAAGTAATCCAGGACATAATTATTTTACTTTTAAATATACAAAATGATTCAAAAATAATAAAATAAAAAAAAGTCATATATTGCATATCTTATTTTTTGAATTTATAATTAAAAAAAATATTTAAAATACCAACTTTATATATCAAAAAATACTATATTTTTATTCACAAACAGATAGTTATTATATAAGTTCTTCGATCTTTTGATTTCAACATTAAATTTTTATCTTTAAGATTTTTAAAATTTATATTTTATATTGATATTTCTGAGCGAAATTAATAATAATTAATAATATATGCGAAATTTTATAATAAAATATAATAAAATACGTAACAACATTAAGATACGAAACGAACATTTGATTAGTTTAATTATAATTATTGATATTTCTTTAATTATTCATAAATTATATCAACAAGAAAACATTTCAAAGTGACATATCGATTTTGATAAAATTTATAGGAAATAGTTTTCAAAAAAATGATATCTATTATTTATCTAATATTTATTAAAGAGATGAGATCAGTTTTCAAAATGAGATTTGAAAACATTTTTTTTTAATATCTTAAAGAATAAAACAATAAAAATAAATAGAATAAAAAAAATTTTTGTTTCAAATTATATTTTTGAATTTTTTTAACTCAATGTTAATTTACACTTGTGATAATTTTATATGAAATTTGTTATTTTGTTATTTTTTTATTTTGTTTGATATAACACTATGAAAGTTTTTGAAAAATATATAAAACACATATTCGAATGTATAAACAAATATTACGAGACTCAAAAATATTTAAAAATAATAATACCATCGCAATGATTATTACAATCATTTTGTGAAATATGGCTCCACGAGATTTTCAAATTCTCTTGCAAAATGACTATATAGCCATATAACTAACGGAATCAAATATTTGTCTACGTTAACGGAAACGTTTGTCTACAATGAGAAATTGATCAATAATTATATTTCAATTGTATTATTTTTTTAATATACATTTATATTTAAATTTAATGTGATGATCAAATTGCAAACAAAATTTTTCCAAATATAAAATCCACATATATATCAATAGATTAAATAATTGGCGTACAATTTTCGAAAGAAACAATATAAAATATAATATTATAATAAATAAATATTGAACCGAGTATTAAAACATAATTGTATTATTAATTATAAAAAGAATCTCAACAATTCATTTTTTTGTCTTTAGAAAAATAAAAATTCGTTGATTTATAAAATGTACCTTCATTAGTTTTAAAGATACAATAATGAAATTTAAAGAGCATCTATAAAAAAAAAAAAAATTTAAAAAAGAGTTTGATATTAAGATTTTTCTTGTATTTAAAAATATGATAGATCATAAAACAATAAATAATAAAGATAAAAAATGAACTTAGAAAAATTTCATGTATTGATTGTAGAAATTTAATACTTTTACTACAATAATATCAAAATAGACAACGAAATTAGACATGTATAAATTCATTTGGAAAAATTTTGCCTACAATTTAATCATCACATTAAATATGAATATAAATTTATATTCAAAAAAATAACAAAATTAAAACAGAATATATTCATTGATCCATAATTAATTATTAATTCCATATTGTAAACAACTATTTTATAATTATGACTTCTATCATTATATATCTTCAAAAGAATTTTGTGAAATCATGTTTGGTGAAAACAAAATTAATTGCAATTGTATCATTATTCTTAGATAAATGTTTAGAGAGAAAAGAAATATTATTTTTCATTTTCTTTCATATTATTATAAATAATATTTTATATTATTATATATATAACTAAATTAACATTTAGTTAAAATTAATAAAAAATTCAAAATTTTCAACACATTATAATATAACAAAATATAAACAAAAAAATTAACTTTTCTTAAATTTTCTTATGTAATCGAATTTCTTAAAAATATTTAGTTTGAAAAAAAATTTTTTCTTAAACATCGTTTAATTTCCAAGATATTAAAAAAAATATTTCAACTCTCAATTTTAAGAATTGATTTTACTTTTTTAATTTGAATATTAACCAATAAAAAAATATGTATGAAATATTTTTTTGAGATCTATTTATCAATCTAGAATCCTATATCAAAATTGGCGTGTTCGATATGTTTCTTTATGAAATATATAAGATATATAAAATATATGTTTATATAATATTTATTTTAGTGTATAGATTCACTCTGGAAATATTACATATGAAAACATATATTTCTGAATCATTTTGTATCTTATGAAATTTCTGAAAACAAAAATATATTATTATGTAATAACTTATATAAAAATTAAATGAATTTTATGAATTTCTTAAACATCTTCAAATCATAATGTGTTGTAATTAATGTGTTGTAATTAGCTGAAAAGAAGACAGAATGGGCAGAAGAAGCAAAAATGAAATAAACCCCCAGAAGCTATAAATTTAGGTTCTTACTTTCTATTGTTGACTTCCTGACATATCACGTATTCCCACAAATGTGACATCACTGCAGCATCTGCCCTACTCATCACTTTTAATTATGTATCAATTTCAAGATATTTTCTAATGTTTAAAGTGAAATATCATTATACCCTTATATTTAATATGATGAGTAAAAAGAAATTATATTATTTATAATCCATATAAAGCATTGTAAGACACCAAATAAATTACTTGAATATCTCAACTATTATTACTGACAGAAAAAAATCAGATCAAACTCTATTTAAAAAACGAAATTAATTTTTATATAATTTCTATGTATTTACATATCAATTTATTCAAATTTGGTCTGATACATTTTTTTTTCTATTACTAATAACATTAAAATATTCAAATGATCTGTTTTATATGTCTTATTTTAATCCAAATACATTAAATATATAAAATCTTTAGCAAAATTTTTTTATTGAATTCATTGAATATTTTCTTAATTATTATTATTATTAAGATAATGTGTCATTGTAATTATATAAAAAATAGGAAATTAGAAAGTTATAATGAATTCATTGATTAAATTATATTCTTTTTTTTCAAAAAGTTGTCAAAATATTTATTAATTACTATTTAATAACATAAAATACATATATTAGAAACTTATTAATTGTTGCATTTTCTGTTATCTTGAAACTAATTTATTTTGTCAGAGAAAATAAAAAAGACATAGTAAATTTTTTATTATCATAATAAAATTTTCATGGAATATTATAATAAAATTTCTAATGAAAATGATATTGAATAAAATCATATTTAATTCAATTTAAATTATTAAATAATATAAGATTAAAAAAAAAATATTAAACTTTTCTCTCTATTTAATAAATGAAACTTAAAGGAAAATAAAATCAATATATCATCTTTTAAAATATCTGTATCTGTTTTGATGAATGTTGCATTGCAGATTCAATCTTGACAATTGTTGAGATAATATATATAATGTTTTTACTTTATATGAATCACAAATAATTTGATTTGTTATGTGCTTTTTAAGTAAACAAAATTGTGCTATTTTTATCAATTTTTAACTATAATAATTAATAATATTAACAATAGTAATAATGAAGTATATATTTCTTCAGTTTTTCATTTAAATGAAATGATTTAATTTTTATGATTATGATTTTAACAATGGAGATGTTTCATATCACATATCACATAAATTTAATTCAGATTAATAAAATAAATTTAGACTTTATCATAAAAAATAATGAAAAAATCATATTTTTTAAATACATATAAAATAACATAAATATTTTATTGTGAAACAGCTCCTTTATTTTTTATTGCTCTTTCTTATTTTATATATTATTTTTTATCACATATATAACTTAATTCTATTTTTTAAAACTTACCATGAATGTTCTGCATTAAAGCCAATCTAAAATATAATAATAATTATGTAATAAAATGTTTAATAATTATATTATATTATAAATAATTATATTATAAATTATTTTATATTACTTTCAAATTATTTTTTAGATAATTACTTACTCTGCCATTGTTACCTATGCACAGAGTGAATGATTTATCAAACCATCTATCATATCCTTTACCATGCAATAAAATTCGACCATATTGATCTAATTTGTCTGGATCTTCCTAATAATGTATAAAAATTAAAAACTATAAATTAAATATTATCAAAACAAATGTAAATAATTATTCAAATAAAATTTTTATTTCATTTGTCATTTATTTTATTATTCAATCAAAAATAATATTATTTAAATAATAATTAATATTTGAAAAATCAATTGAATAGATCTAAAAAAAGAGTAATGTTACAAATTTTTTAAAATGAATTTTTTTGTGGAATATTTTCTATTGAAAATATTTTTAGATTTTCAGAAGATATTTTGTTAAGTTTTTAGTATTTGATAATGGAGTTACATAGAGAAAAAAATAAACAATATTAACAAAGTGAAAGAAGAACATATATATAAAAATTTTTATCATATTTTAATTGATTAATTTTTAATTAAGAAAAAACTTTTTATCTATTTATCTTTAAGAAAAATTGATGTCAATATCAAAGACAATAATTTTTGATATTTTAATATTTAATTTTGTATTTGAAGTCAAATAAATTTCTCATTATTTATATTAAAAAAAAATTTGATATATTATTTGTTTATTGTTTTATTATTGCAGTAAGCAAAAAGTAGATCTAACATTTATCTGTAAATTTTATAAAATGTAAAGACATTTATTCAATTATTTTTTTAATGTTTCTTATTTTATTTTAATATTTACTTATAATTTATTTTTTATTGTATTTTAATATTTACTATATAATATCATATAAATATTTTTTGAAAAAATATTTTCTTCTATGTTGTAATAATTTTTCTTATAAAATTAATTATAAACTTATTACTTTTCAAATTTCTTGATCTAATATAAAATTTTTGTTCCTTATAAATGAAAAACTTTACTATTTTTTATTTTGTTATTATTTGAAATATTCCATTTATACTTGGTAAATAATCATTTGAAAATAATTTCTTCATATAAAATTTTGAATTTTATTTTTATTTTCAAATAAATTTTTTATTTTATTTGAAATAATTATTTTTTTCTTTTATTTGACATATTTATTTTTAATAAAAAAATATCTACAAACAAAATATTTTAATGTCACTTACGGGATCATATATATATGGTATATCATCTAATACAACTATAAATGCAGCTTTTTCAATAAGATCTAATGATGCCTTATTCATTCCTTTTGAAAAAAATTCTTCTCTAGCTATTGCCCATGCAGTTCTTTCACTAGCTGTTAAAGCAGCCAATTTCTCTTCACCATCTGATGGTATTGATTTATCATTTAAAATTTGTTGCATTTGTCTGAAATAAGATATATTATATCAAAAATATTTGTTATTAAATATTCAAATAATATACACAATAAAAAACAACAATTTCACATTACATTAACATATATTATTTCTATTATTTCTATATATGTAAATAAAATTTAATTAAATGAAAATTAAATGAAAATAAAAAAAAAGAATTTCGAATTTTCGAATTTTTAGTCCTTAATTTATTTCATAATTATTTTATAAATAAATAAATATATATATATATATATGTATATATATATATTATATATAGCCATACACGCAGAAACATTGTAATGTATATATATCAAATTCTAGGTTTCATGAAATTACATAGTTTGTGATTTGATATTAACATAATAAGTGAAACGTGTTCTTAAAAATGTCTCATTACTTTTCAGCATTGATATTATTATCTATAGAATTTATTAAAAATATTATGTATATTTTTTAATATATATTTATTATTTATTAAAAATAAAAAGTTGAAGATTAAAAAGAAATAGATAAGAAGATAATTGATTGAAAGAATAAATTTTATAATTTTAAATTTTAAATTTCTGCGTTAAGAAAATTTAACGTAATTAAGAAAATTAAAAGTAATCAAATTGAATAAATACAAAAATTTTTTATGAATAAATATTTATATTTTTCAATATTTAGATAATATTCGCCTAAAAATCAAAAAGATCAAAAATATTTTTATATATATATCATTAAAGACATCATAAAATTATATGTATATATAAGCTAAATTAATATGTAATTATGATATTGAATCCTTGAAACTGAATATTCGATATTGATACATTCCACGTGTAGTAACTTATATCAACGTTGCTCGTTAATCAAATTAATTCTAAAAATATCGTCTACTACTGATATGCTAATTACCAGTTGACTATTACAAATTGCATCATAAAATCAAGAGATTGATATGTGTATCGCAACATGTTTCAGCATGTTAAGTAGATATAAACATATAAGTGTAGTTAGTATATGAGAAAAAATTATAGAATTTTAAATATGAACTGAGTTATAAATTTAATATAAACAAAATTATATTACGATTATTTTTTATTTTTATTCTATTTTTATAGAATGAACATATATAGAAGCAAAAATTTGATATTTAATATTAACATATTTATTTAAAAAATAAATAAATAATGTTAAGAAAAAAGAAATTGCATAAGAGCAAAATTGACCAATAATCATAAAAAATATATATCAAAATATGTATCAAGTATACATTTCGAAAAGAAAATAAATTCTATATAATCCTATGTGTAATTGAAAATAATACCAACTCTGTTAAATAGAATAAAAATATATATATTTTAATATGATGTACAATATCTCAAGACATTTTTTTAAATTAATTAAGACATTTTTTTGTAGAACAAAATGTAATTAATACTAAATTTTTAAAACTTTTTTCAAATAACTGATTTTAAAAATTTTATTCAAAATTTTTCGTTCATTTTTGGTATTATATTTGTAAATAAAGAGTAATAGTTTTTAGTTCCTATTAAACGGTACTAATATTGATCATTAGTTATATCATTAATATTTATTATTAGATAATTAAAATACCAAACTATTATAAGTTGTAGTATAAAATAAATAAATAAATAAGTTGTATAATTATATAAATAAATAAGTATAAATTAATCTTTTTTCGACATATTTTAATTGCACGTGCATAATTAAAGACATTGATTGCGAAGTTGCGTTTATCGAAAAAATCTATATATCCGTATAAGCTATTATCTATCAATTTTCATAGTCAAAAAATATATAAATATCTAAGTAGTTTTTAATTATTTTTGCATTTTGTTTGTATACAGATATTGGTTTTCATAAAAAAAATTTTAATGGATTCGCTTTCTTTCAAATAAAACGTTTTCCCCTTATTATCGAAAAATATATTTCAGTTTTATATTATTTGTATGTTCCTATTTGTTTTAGTATTTGGATTATCGAAATTATATTTTTAAAGTTCATATCATCGAAATCTCTTATTTTTAATATTAATTATTTTTTAATATTTTTAATATATTTATAGTTAATTTCATTGGAAAAAATAATGAATCAATAAAAGATATTTATGATGGACATATCTTGAGTTTCTAAAAAAATAGATGAAAAAGTATTAAAGTATAACTATTTAATCTATTTTTCAACATTTCTTAATCAACATTTTTTAATAAAAACATTCTAAATTTTTCAATTGTTAATAGTGTACAAAAGCAAAGATAAAACGATCTGAAAAAAATAAAATTTTCACTTCAACTTTCTACATTATATTAATGATATAAAGAAAAAAAAATTAAAAAAACATAAGAGATAAAAAATAAGATTAAAAGAACTAGAACATCCACAAAATTGGAGAAAAATAAAGAAAAAATAAAAACATTAACTATGTAATTTATTTAAAATAATAAAAAAAATTGAATTTAATATTCAAATTGCCAAAAATGCTGATTCTGAAATAAAATCCTAATAATTATATTTGTATTTATAACAAATTATATTAAAACTATTTTAAGAATAGATATGTATAATATATAAAGTTTTGGTATATTTAGTATTAAATTATTTGGTATATTTAGTAACAAATTAATTATTGGATTTAAATCAAATTAAGGATGAGATTATATTATATATCAATTAGAAAATAATTTTTATATCCAACAAAGCAGTATTCACAGAAATATGATCAGAAATTGACTTAATTTTGCAAATATTAATCGAATCCAAGACTTATTTATTAATATTTTATTAAAATATCACAAAAATTACAAATATTTAAAGATCATTATTTTTGTTAAAAATAATTATATAATTTAAAAATAATGAAAATATTTTAATTTTCAGTTTTTGTTATTTAGTTTCTTCGATTCAATATCATTTTAATACAAATACATTCGAAAAAAATCGAAATTTATCGCTTATATTATATTTATTAATGCATAGTTTATAATACCTCCTATGATATTTTTAATTTTATTGATATAATAAAAAATATAAAAAAAATTTGCAAATGATTAATTTGTTTCTGAATTTCGATCAAAAGATAATATATTAATAATACATTTATAGCTAAGCTAATATCTTTATTAAATGATAAGAAAGAGATATTAATAATGCTTGAAAAGTCGCGTAATTCTTTAATTGAGTATTATAGTGAACAATTCGTTAATAAGTTGTCAAGTAAAATTTATTATAAAAAAAAACTTATTAATAATTCATATTTGCATTTTGCAATCAGAAAATTATAATACTAACAAAATATTATAATAAAAATTGTATTAGATATATAATGTGCTAAAAAAACCTAAAAGTTTATAGAAAAATTTAAAAAAATAGAATATCATTTATTTAATTTTAATACGATAAATTTTACATGTTGCTTCGAATTTTTAAAAGAATTGAACATAAATTTATAAAGAAGAAGAAAATAAATTTAGAAAATGTAAGTATATTGCATTTTGTATAAATTTTTATATCACAAAATAAAATTTTAAGGTTAATTGTTAGATAGAAAAATTATGAATTATCTACTTATTCATTTTTTAAATATTTTAAAAAATGTGTATGTAGTATATACATTTCATAAATTTGTCACAATCATAAATTTCAATTTCGTATAATATTAACAAATGAAAGTATTATTTAAAATTGAAAACATTAAATAAAATAATTAAATAAAAAAATCTTTAAACATTAAATCTTTAAACTAAATTAATTAACTTAAATTAAACTTTATTTTGAAATAACAAAAATTTTTTATATTTTTTTTATTTTTTGATAATTTTCAACGATTAGAATTAAAAAATAACAGTTTCAAATTTAAAAATTTGATTTAAAAATTACGAGTATAAAAAGTATTTTATAAAAAATTATAACAAAAAAATAAAATAATAACAATTGATTTTCATTCAATATAGTAATTGGCAGTATTTATTTAATCTGTTTATTAATCAAAAAATTGAGATTAATCAAATATTGAATCATTAATAATAATTAGTAAATTATATGATGATATCAACTTGTCACAAATATTTTTGATTGATACCAACATATACTTGATTTACGATTTTACTAATAAAATAATTATATAAGAACTATTTAGTTTTTAATAAATATTACTCTTGTAGCAATAGACAATACTTTAAGTAGAATATAAATAACAATATAAATAATAATAAATTATTATAATATAATAATTTGTTATATTATATCAAAATTTATTATTGTTATTTGTTATTGTTATTTTATTATAATTTCTTAATAAAATATTAGTTTATGTTTATATGATATTTCTTTATTTATTTGTAGTTATTTATTCATTATATTGTATTATTTATTTGTTATAAAATATATTAGAATTATTTTGCGAAAAAAAACTCATTTATAATGAATTTTTTTTTTAACTTTATCGTACAAATTTACATGTAATTTACATACTTTCTATGCTTATCTATACCAAAGTTTACATTACATGATCTTATTTTTATCGGCATTATCATGTCGATAAAGTTATATCTATTGATATCTTAAATATAAGATATAAGAAAGATATAATCGAATTAATGAAAAATAAATATACTAATAAATTGTTTTCTAAAGTATTCTACGAATTATAAAGAAATAAAATAAAATAAAAAAAAATAGAATTATTAATAGTAAAATTCATAGCATGATTCATAATGTAATAACAGAAAGATATTTGTAAAAAACTTTCTAGCATAGGCGATTGTTTAATAATAATCGCTGTTCATATATAATCTAATCTAAACGTTATTCATGATGATAATACTAAATAGTACTATCTAATCTATATTATAAACCTAATTATAGAGGAGATATATATAGGAATATATATATATATATATATATATATATAGTATATATATATATATATATATATATATATATTA